AAAAAAATTCTAAAAAATCAACGGTAATTTGTAAATTTGAAACTTGCACTTTGAAATTGGACGGGCTACAAAACTGCATCCTTGAAAACTTTCTAAAAATTTAAATTTTTTATGCAATTTTTTTTAAGTTTGATTAATTTTTGTAACCATTGTGTAAGCTTTTATTTATGTAGTTCCTGTTGTAGATCGAACTATATTTAAAATGAAAATTATTAAAAATAAATAAATAAGTATACAAGTTGCAAACAATGTCATTTTGAGTTTTGCTACTATCGCAGCACATGTTTGTATGCATAAATAATTTAATTTTGATACTTTTAGTCAACAGAAAATTCTACAAATATGTAATTATTTTTTGCTACATGTTATGATTTAAGTAGCGAAATATTTTTTAATTATTTGTAAAGATGTTAATAAAAAATATTAATTTTATGATAAACATACAAATTTTCTTCCCTGAGACGCTGAAAACAAATAACACACCCAGGGACTTCTCATCCGTAATTTCATTTCCGCAGTTGACGGTAAAAGTTTAAATGCGAAATTCGTTGCCTCTTTTTAGGCTCTTCAAAATAGCTGAGACGCAAACAGCTCTCTGATTTCTGCTGAGAGAAATTTAAGAAATTATGGTACCCTGTGCCTGTGTGAGTAATCATGTATGCACACTAGGGTGGTCCAAAAATGCATGTATAAAAGTAAAGTCGGAATTTGTATGCTTTCAATTGTATAACGAAAAAATATACCCTTATTTTTTTATTTTGAAATCAAAAAATATTTGGATGTCGCTCAAAGCGTTCAAAGTTTTTATATGGGGAAAAAACAACTTTTCGTAAACATGGTATAAAATCTCGAAAAGCAATATTTTTCGCATAAAATCAAAATTTTCTTGAATAAATTGACCTTCGTCTTTATTTAGAAAAAAAACTCTCAAAATCATACGATGTCATTATTGATACTTAAAAAAATACGGTTGATAAATTCTTCGATATTTTTTGGTTTTTATTTTTAAGTCGCGGCAGCTTTTATTTACTTAGTTAAACTTTTATTTCGTTCCTTGTTTTGTATTTTTTGCAAAAAAAAAAAACTTCTTATTTATTGTGAAGCTATTAAGAGCAATACGGATAAGTAATCACATTAATTTAAGTTCAATTCAATCTCTTTTTTGATTTAGGTTATCTTTCTTACTGTCTGTTTCACGAAAGCAATTTAAGTGGAAAATGATTTTTTTTATCAGTTTCCATATCAAATTCAAATAAAAAAACTTTTAAATTTTCAGTGAAAAAAAATTTTTGAAAATTCGAATAAATCGAATTTGAACCACCGAATTTCGAATCGTATAATCGAATCATTGGGAAATGTTCGAAATACGGGAAAAATCGAATTTTACCTCCCACTACCTATCCCTATGCCCAATTATATTATTAACATTTTGCAGGGTTGGGTATTTGGGTATTGAAGTAACTTGCGTTTATGTTTGATATTTTCGACTAAAATTTTGCTGCAGAAAAATTTAGAGATAGTCTCGCGAAGCGTTAGTTCCACCCTACCAACTTCATAACTATTTGGGGGCTACCGCAAAACGAATACAAAGTTTCGCACATTAAGAATGTGCATACGAGGGGAGCCTCGTTGAAATCGCGGCACAGTGGTCTGAAATCCAAATCTAGATGGACAAATCTAATTGCTCAAACGCGCTTTAACACAATTTGACACCACTTTGTTTCTATATACGTAGTATTATTGGGGTCGCTGAGTACGAATCTGAAGTAAAAAAATTCAAAATGGCGGATCCAATATGGCGAGCACAAAAATTAAGAAATCAGTAAACTTTATCGAAACAAGGTATTTTGGCGTTTTTGGGATCGCTGATAACGAATCTCGAATCTTAATTTCGAATTTTGAAATTGCAATGGATTTGGAAAGACTTTTAAAATAAAGTGAGCTTAGAGATGTTAATGTCAGATAAATAGTTTTGTATAGTTAAACTATAAAACATTTCATTGTGAATAAAATTATAGTTTTGTAATTTTTCACACGATAACACACTAAGCAACCGTGGTTTGAATAGTCGAATTGGTAAGAAATTTTATCAATAATGAAGATTGGAAAGATGGATTGAAAGTAAAATTCGTCGTTATCTTCTGTGTAAGCTTCGAATAGGAGTAAAGTTAGTACTTCTTATGGCAGTTATTAATATTTAAAACTGTCTCAAAATGCGCTGAAAAAAATCTTACATGGCCCGCGTTAAACACGAATATGTATATTGACAAGTAATTTTTAGCAAAAAAAAACCGACTTCAACTCTCATATAAAAAAATATATATATATATATATATATCATGATCCACTGATCGGATCTTAACCAGATTAGTATGGGACCACCTCTGAGACACTACCTTTCCGACGCAAAAATAATTATCGAAATCGGTTGACGTGGTCCAAAGTTATGCGGTAACATACATAAAAAAAAAAAAAAAAAAAAAATCCGACGAACTGATAACCTCCTCCTTTTTTGGAAGTCGGTTAAAAAGCAGGGCAAAATGTAAAAAAGTATTAACGGTTATGGAAAGCTTAAAACTTATTAAATATTCTCCCATAAATAATTTTTCGAACTAACTCGCACAATTTATCTTTTGACATTTTGAAATTTGTAATATACAAATTTACAAACATTGGAAATAGAATAAAATAGTTTACACCCTCTTATAATGTGTAAATCAAGTTAACATACTGATATGATATAAACAAACATAAAAATACAAAAATAAAAAAATAAAAATAAAAAAGAGACCTCGATTTTCCGACTTTTTCCACCTATATTTGGGACTCAGACCACTGTGCACCGTGGAGGCAAATGTACATTGTTAAATTCAAAATATTATAATTCTTGTAAGCCTTTTGTAAGTAGAAAAAATAGTATGAAAAAGTAAATATACAGAATAGGGCAAAATAAAATTAGAAAATTTAAATACATACATAACGTTACCTGCATATAGCAAGGAACCGAAGGCCGCCTACGCAGCAAAGATGTTCGTATTCATGTATGCACTATTTCGGTTTTGAGTCGAAAGGGTTATTTCGGGTTTTTTCTCATTTGCATTATTTCGTATGCACGCACAGTTTCCATATACACAATTTCAGGGTGCCATTCATTAGTCTATCCATAAAATAAACACAGTGAATGACACAGTAGCGAAGTAACTAACTTATCTCAAATATTTTTGGCATATTTATATGTATGTATGTATGTATGTATATGTCCACATGCAAGCCTGTGCATATGTGAAGCAATTATTGCCCATTGAAACACCTGAATTTTAGCTGATAAGGGAGTAGATATGTATGTGAGTATGCATGTTTTATGCTTATGTACATTTACTTATAAACGAACGGCATTACTTTAAAACACCGGCTTGTTGTAACAATTAAATAAATAAATATTCGGTTACATACATACATACATATATTGATATGTATGTGCAAATCGCCTTTTTGTTAACTGAAACTAAAAGTAGTGAAATTACAGTTAGATCCCTCAAAGCTTACATACTTTACCGAAAGTGCAATACTTATATGTACATTAGACTAAATCACTCCCCATACAAAAAAAAATAAAAATCGGTACTTATTTTCCATTCGAATTATAAAATCTATTATATCTTAAGACGTCCCCCAAAAAATTTCGGAAAAATATTAAGATTTAAGCGAGCTGGCCCGATTTGAAAATACCTCAAAAAATGGAGTTTTTTATGAATAAAAATAGTTTCTGAAAGGTGTTTTTTTGAAAAAATCCCCTCAAATGACAAACCGGTTTAAGCGTAAAAAACTTACATAAAAATATTAAAAAAGAAAATGAAAATAAAATTTTGAACGGAATCGTAATAATGAGATTTTTGATGCTGTTATTTAACTTTTTTCCAAGATTGGTATAACTTAAAAAACTTGAATAACTGAACCTAAACTCTTCCGGTTTAGACTTGTAAGATATCATCGGAAAGGTATTTTCTCTTCCTTTTCATTTATTTGCTAATAAGCTCATTCAAGGGATGAAAAAGAAAGGTGGGATGAACGAACATCATTCAAAGTTGAATTAAGATGTGTTAGAATTTAAAAACAAAAAAAAAAATGGAACACGAATGACTTTTTCTGTACATAAATAAAAATAGTAGGAAAATGCCTTTCTACCGAGATGCCATAAATCTTGACCAGAATAGTTTTGGCCCAGTTATTTAAGTTTTTCAAAAATCAATCTTTGAAAAAAGTAAACAAACAGCATCATAAATCTCATTATTACGATTCCGTTGAAAAGATTTTTATGCAAATTTTTTAAGCCTAATCTGTTTTGTCATCTAAGGGGAGTTCTTTCAAAATGTGCTTTAAGAAACTATTTTTATTCATAAAAAACTCCATTTCTGGAGGTATTTTCAAACCGGTCCAGCTCGCTGAAGTCTTAATATTTATACGAAATATTTTAGTGGACGTCTTAAAATATAATAAATTTTGTACTCCCGGCGGAAAAACCCGCAACTTTTTTTGATGATGCAGTCTAATGTACATATGTAAGTATGTATACTTTAAAACCATTAACCAGATGGTGTTCGATGGCTTTGGATTATTGATGTACATATATTACTCTAACCATTTAAATCAGCCGATAACAGCCGATAACTCATAAAAAACCTTGCTGCAGGTGTTAAATCGGCAATTAATAAAATCTAATCAATTGATTATGTATAAGTGACGCTTCGAAAAAAAATTGGACATATGTACATACATACACGCCTTTTCGATATAAGATTTAAATGCTTGATTAGACCACTTATGTCCAGCAGTGAACTTAGTCGTTGCTAAGACGGGCGTTAAATTAGACGTACACGTTAAATATAATCGGAAATGCATTGAGTGAAATTATATTCGGCTGTGCTAAGGATTAAAGCAAAGTATTCGCGGCGTCCTTTAATAACAAATTTTGCAAAGCTGCATAAAAACAAAACAAAAAAATGACAAGTATGTGAAAGCAATATTGCTTATATATTTATTAACTTTTGTGCGCATAAAAGTACATAAATAAGTTATCAGAAACATTTTAGATGAAAAGGCCTAATTCGATCGAAGCTATGATAAACGCTTTACACCAGTGATACATCTTACCGTTAAATTGCTTTTTTCTTTTTCTTTATGTGTATATGTAATATACTCAAGTAGGAGTTATTGGCCTATTTATTGTTCTTATCATTTATGGCAAATACATAAGTGCATTTTATGTAGTATATTTATAAATCATTAGGAAAGGTATGCATTATGTGACCAACTATTTCATATTTCAAAGAAGTACAGGTTAGCTTAGGTTAGGTTAATGCCGCGAGCCGATCACAAAATTTGGAATGCGGCTAATTTCAATCCCTGAGAGCTCGATTGTATTTCAGAAGTGCGAGGGAAAATGCTTCCATCTTATCTTCGCGAAGGTTAGGCAGTCTAAAAGAAAGTGTGGAGATGATTCCGCTTATCTTAATCTTGACAGCTGATGCAAAAGGATCAGTTAAATTTCCTAGTCTTACCGCGTGAATACCAATCGCTCAATGGCCCGTCAGAGCCCCCATCACTAGCCCTTGAGAGATTAACGATGGGTCACGCGTGTCTTACACTGCGATAAGTATTTTAAAGTGCCCTATAAGAACACGCGGTAGCAGGGTAACTTCTTATTTTCCTTTATTTAAGTCACAAAAGGAGCCTCACCTTCTTTTGTCCATTTTATCCCGACCATTAAGTATCCAAGAGTATACCGCAGGAGGACAGTGGCGTTTCTGTTTCCCGTGATGTGACTGTAACCCGATACCTAAACTAGAAGTAGTACCTAAGAAGTATTTGACGCGATTGATAGCGAAGTCACACACTCCTTTACCGATTTTGAGCGCATCATAATGGCATCTATTTCCACCTGAAAGACACTGCAGATGTCCGGAAGCCTGAGCATAGTTTTAGTGAAGAGTTTCCAACAAAAGACACCCCCACTAACCCTGTCTCCAAGTTTTGATCCGTCCGTGAAGAAGTCTACCGCTCCCTTCTTCGAGTAACCCCGCCCTACCCAGTCTGCTATTGAGAGAATATAGATAGAGAAGGAGCTTCTGGGAGCCATTTTGAAGGCGCTGTAATCTATGTGTTCACGGCCCTTCAGAAATTCAGAGTTCGTGATGCGAAAATGGTGTCTGCAACATCTCAATGTTAAGCTTCCACGACAGCCGCCACCTAGTTACCTGGTTAAGGTAACCTTGAGCCAGATCGAAAAGGGTGGATGGAAATCGTCCCTTAACCAGAAGTTCCATATCATCTACTTAGGCGAACACCCGACAGCACACTTTTCCCGGTTCCTCTAGAAGGTCGTTTACAAACGCCATCCAGAGCAGGGGAGAGAGAACACCACCATGTGGCGTGTCCTTGTTGACTATGCGCCAGTGTTGCCATTTTTTCTTGCAATAAGCATGTTGGGCTCTTGACAGACAGTCACGAGGAACTACGTTTATTAAGTCTCTAGTCTCCCTAGCAATCTCTCTAGCGTTTTTAGCAAAAACGAAGAGAGATTGATAGTCCCAAAATATCCAGGGAGAACATGAGAGCCCTCTCCGGCTTTCGGTATGAATGCAACACTGACTACCCTCCAAGGCTTGAGGATGTACCCGGTCCTCACACAGTTCGCACAAATAGGTTTGAACCAATTGCACGACACCTTCAGGGCCCTATGCAGCTGCGTTAATGGTTTGAACGAATTTATCGCCCAGGCCATGTGACGATCATCCAGAAGATCGGCGAAGTCCAGGAACTGAAATACAAGATATCGCTAAGAAGAAGAAGACTGTACTCCGATGTACGAAATAAAAGAGCTAAAAGCTAGAAGTACTGTACTTCCGAAAGAAGTACGGCTGTTCACATTAGGCTGCAAAAAGGAGTGAAAGCTGTCAATTCACATATTTATAAGCCTTGGAGCTCTACTTTACACTGAGAAAAAAAATTTAATTCAAACCAGACCTATTAAATAATGATTATTAATTAGATAGTGTTTGTAAGGGAACAATTTAATGATTAAATACCATTATTTGCACCTTTAAAATTATTAATAAATAATTGATTACTTACAAATATAATCGCACTCATGATTTTTTACCAATGAGCGAAAAAATGGGAAATTATCAAAAATGTTTAATTAGAAAAATGTATAAAATTATATGTCTCATATTTACAATTACATATACAGTATTTCAAAGGCTTCAAATACGTACGTGCTAAATTTCGGTATGAAAATAATATTTTTGTATACGAACATTTTTAGACGATAATCAAATATAAGGTATTCATTTTTACTATGCATTATTTCCCTCAGTGTAGAGTAGTTGACATGAGCTCTTAGTCTCCTAAGTGGGTTTTGGTAATATGCCACACACTATGAGTTTAATCCATGCATTTAAGTCTTATTCTCCTTCATATTCAAAATTTTTATTCACAACTGCATTTATTTCTATTCTTGCAGAGAAGACGGTGATATTTGTTTCGTTATGGCTGATAATTGCCTCAACATGGGTGCTAAACTTTACCACCGCAGCTGAGGATGAGGAGCCACATTGCATTTGGTATGGCCAGAGTCACGCGGTTGGGCAGCATTGGCTTAACAAAGCTGTCAATAGTCCACCGCAACCATTGAATGATACCAGCGCTGAAGCGATTTTTAAACGACGCTGCCCACTTTGGTATGCTGAATACAAGTCTTCGGACCCCGATGGTAAAATGCGATACAACAAAATAAATTATTTTTATTTCGAATCTTATACCTATAAAAAGCAAAATTTACATATCTACACTTCTATGTTCTATATATATGTATATAGAACCTCTCATGCTCTGCTGTGACGCTGCTCAGCTGCGCACAATGGAATCGGGTTTATCACAAATCGACGGTGTCTTCTCCCGCTGCCCTACTTGTGTTTACAATATGGCCTACTCAATTTGTGGCTTGACCTGCGCGCAGAATCATAGTCTCTTTTTGGTACCCTATAATGAGACGTACGATGATCATGAATATATTGAGGAAATCGATTACCGTATCGATGATGCGTCGGTAGAGCTAGTCTACGATAGTTGCGCGGGCATTCAACACACACAGACGGGTCGTCCAGCCATGGATCTAGCATGTGGCGCATATAACGCAAAGACCTGCGATCATCGCAAATGGTACATCTTCATGGGTGACCCAACTTTGAGTGATTATGTACCATTCCCCATAAATTACGAGTTTTTAAATGAAACAAGCGAGCTACCACGACTGGTTGTACCAGCGAAAAATTGTTCGGAAGCCTATGACGGCGCATTTGCGTGCTCATGTGTTGATTGCAGTGCCTCTTGTCCCTATATGGACGCTCCTACTGGGCAGGCAGAAAGCTATATGATAGCCGGACTTTATGGAATTACTTTCATAGTCTCCGTCGTATTCGGTGCACTCGTCATGGTGTTCATACTATGCGGCTCACTGAATATCTGCAAACCGAAAATCAAGATTTCAAGCTGTTGTGCGGGTTTTAGCTGCGTGAATACTAAACTCTCTAAGAGTTTTCGTGCTTGGGGATATTTCTGTGCAAAAAATCCCGTACTCATTTTGGCCNCCCAATTGAGCTTTGGGCTAGCGAAGATAGTCAAACACGTTTGGAAAAAGATTACTTTGATGAACGTTTCGGACCCTTCTATCGCACCAATCAGATATTCTTCAAACCCATTAACCAATCGAGTGTAAGTGAACTTTGGCACGTATATTTTTAGTAGATATCGGGAACGGGAAGTACTTAATTGTATTAACTTGCTTTCTTCTTTTCAGTTCACACACAACACATCAACGGGCATATTGACATTTGGGCCAGCATTCGAAAAAAGTTTCCTAAAAGAGGTCTTCACATTGCAACAACAAATTGAAGCAATAACCACAGAAACCGGTGTTACATTAGCCGATGTTTGCTATGCGCCTATGCTATATACCGGAGTGGAAGCGACCACTGATGATTGCTTGGTACAATCCATTTTTGGCTACTTCCAAAATAATATGGATGAGTTTGATTTAGAGTATGTAGATTCAGATGGTTACACTAACAACTATCTTAATCAACTTGAGGATTGCCTCCGGTGAGTGAATTCTATGTACATTGCACCCTATAATATATTTATGTGCATTGGGGTGGTCCAAAAATTGATTGCTTTGAGCGACCTCTATATATTTTTTGCCATAAAAATCAAAAATAGGGATATACTTTTTCTTGATATAGAATAATCCTAGGGGGTGAGAGCATTAAAATTCGAATTTTAATTATTTTGGACCACCCTAATGTCCATACTATATATACGATCATGTACGAATATGAATTAGGTGTTTCCTGTGTGATACCTTTATGTTTCTATAGAGTTCCAATGTTGGAGTCTTGTTATGGCCCTTATGGTGGTCCCATTGAACCTGGTATTTCTGTAGGCGGCATGCCGAAAGTTTCAG